TAGACCTTCTCTAGTGTCTGGTCTCCTTGTTTGATGCTGCTAGCTTTCACCATCAAGTTGTATACCTGCAAGGGATCTTTCCCGGAGCCGTAAGTGGCTTCAATTCCCTTCCACAGATCCCAAGCAGTTGGATAATCGATATATTGATTGACAATATCTGATTCTATGTTTTCTAGAATCCATGTTATAACCGTTGAATCTGCTTGTCTCCATTTAATAAATTTCGGGTCATCTGATTTGAGAGGTGTGGCAGTGATGTGCTTGAGCCGCCCTCTCTCATCCAACGCCAGACTCATTTTGCGCGCCCAAATGGCGTAGTTCCTATCGTTGAGCTTTTCCGCCATGTTTAATGGCTGATTGGAAGAGCTCTCGATAGGTTCGGCCTTGGGTGCCAAATTCTGAAAATTTTGAAGAATTTCCAGAATTTGTGCAAGATTGATCGGCTGATTTTTCGGGTCAGATTCCTCTGTGTTTATGGAACTGCCCGTTTGAGGAGTTTTATCGGACATTTTTTATGGTATATGATGAATGTTGCGTTTCATTCAATTGTTTGATCGAATGATGGCTTTGATACCATATTAGAAATATTAGAATGAATTCACAGCATAATTTTCATCTTATTCAATTCATCATCAAAATGATGAGTATAAATATTACAAAGTAAATACTCAAGACAATCAAGGAAGGTAAGTGGAAGATAATCAAATATCTTTGATTGGTAATTTGATTCCAATCAAGGATATTATCCTAGTCATCAATAATATTCCTTTGTTTGACACTATTCATTTGTTTGACATTTCTAACATTATAACAATTCATATGAAAAAGTTGTGGGATGGATAGGTAAGCAAGTAGTTTTATGTTTTTTCTACAAGGAGTATTTATTTTATCCACATATATACTCTGTACTTTTATCATTTTATTTTTTGACAATATATATTTTCTCTTAGAAAGAACTCTAAATTATTGATTTTCATCCTAACTTATTGTATTACTTTTCTTATATTTTCCTACACTAACTTGGGAAACGCTACTTTGTGAGAACAATTAGTCTCTAAACTTGGCTTATTGAAAAAAAAACTGTTCTATACTTGTATGCAACTTGGCTTATTGACAATTAGTCTCTAAGCACTCAAATCTTTTTTGCAACTTTGACATTTTTTTCTACTTCAATGAGGTTAGCAGAAATTGTATGTAGATAAGTACATTTGACACAGCTGTGTTTGGTTGTTACTTGGGCCATATATTTTCATACTGCTTACCATGAGGGAGTAAAAATTTATGAGTACATACTTAGTAGTTGTTGCTAGGCGCCTACGCCTACTTGAATAGAGGATTGTTGTTGAATAGGATGCTTGATTGATTTAATTGCAGGGAGGTCTACAGCGTTAACTTGGGTGGGATAATTCTTACAAGTGCTAGGAATCCAACAAATCTGCATGGATCATTCATTCTATCCCAATTCCATGTACTTACATAAGACCAATGGTGCTATTTTACAATTCCCCTCTCTGAATGTGCACAAACCTCATGTACATGTACACCTTTTCTAAGAAACTAAACACCTACCACTGCAATTGAAATATATGTAAACTTTAGAGAGTTGAAGTTGTTTCGTGCATATTTTTTTTAACACAAGTTGTAGAACTTAATCTAGAACTCCTTTTAGACACCATACAAAGTCATACATGTTAAATTTCATAATTTTCTTTAAATGTTGGGCACCAAACGCACAAAGTGCGTTTCATGCTAGTTTCAAAATATATTCGTGTAATCGTGTTCATTGGGGGGATCCTGGCATGTCAACTCGGACGGGTAATTCGAGATACAAACAAAGTCTCTTAAAATAGGAAGGGCCGGCGAAGTGAGCATGAATTAATTAATGGGTGGAAAATTGAACACGTATCTTCCACCTCTCAACGGCAAATATCATTAGCTATGCAATAATAATGGTAGATAATAATAATAATAATAATAACAATAACAACAACAACAACAACAACAACAACAACAACAATAATAATAATAATAATAATAATAATAATAATAATAATAATAATGGTCCCTAAAAGTGGAGAGCTATCTGAAATTGATTGACATAAAGAAGATACCCTCCATCAGCTACAAATAATCCAGCATTATCTCATGGGACACCTCCTCCCTAACACACATCAGTAAATAAACCAAAGCTTCATATTCAAATAGCAATGTAACCACTGTTATATGTAGACATGGAATATCACAGACTTGAGACCATATAAGGTGGTGAATATCATATTCGGCTTTTCTTTATTTATTCTAAAATAATAATACGAGTAATAATAAATAAACAGTGAGCATCGACGATTAATACATGACAACACCGTAGCTAGCTAGCTAGTTCAAAATGAGGTCATTGTTGCCACCAAGGTGAGGGTGAAGGCAAACAAGCACTTCATGTTCTTCTGACCCTTCTAGAAGCTTAGGCACCAGAATCTCGAGGACCGTACCCGACCCATCAAAGTAGGCTTCTATATTAGCATCCTCCGGAATCCGGGTTGAAAGTGGGATTTCTCTGACAAACTCTCCAGGAGGGCAGTGCTCGGCAGAGGAATCTGCGAGCTTGAATGTCCTTTTCTGCCTCTTGATGAATGGCGCGCGAGATGTGCTCACACAAGACACCTTTACTATGCCATGTGTGGGCGCGTTCCTCCACGACACTTTCACCCTCTGAGGATCCACCAAGGGCAGACTGATTAGGATCAGATAACCCTCATTGTCTTCGTATATGCTTTTCGCAGCAGTGACCGGTCCGTATACATCGCGCATCACCCCACTGAATTCATCCAACCACCTTGGGTGGACGACTTCCGAATCAGCAATTGGATGATTTTCGATACCATCTTCAGAAAACAAGTCCTTTTTTCTTTTGCTGCTGTCCGGTGATATATCCCCATTGTGGTTGTGGTTGGAGGATGGAGGGGTAGAAAGGAGGTTAAAGGGAGGAGAGCATTTGAGGGACGACTTCTTGGGGTTCTTGTTATTGGGTAGATGTGGTGGCCTTTCCAGCTCAAACTCGGTGTTTGGCAGGTTTCTCCATGAGCCGTAATCACTTGCTTCAGGAGGGATGGTGAAGTTCAGCTCCCTTCCAGTGAGATCCACCCATCTCTTGCGCTCCTCTTCATCTAGAACCATGAGATTGGGCGAATGAACAATCTCGACTCCGTGGACACACTGTGGGTTTGACAGCCCGCGGTAATGCTTCCTTTGCATCCGGTGAGACCGGACAAAACCCTTGTCAACACTAAACGGAAAAGGACGTTCCCCATGGCGAGAATGTCCATTCATGTAGCTTCGCAGTTGCATCTTACCCAATGCATTATCTGGCCTTTCCTTGAAAACCCACATGTACATGTTCTCCATATCATGCTGGACCATGAAAACGTCAAGGTTGAGATCAGATTTGTCAAAGCCAGAGACCCCATTACCATCTCGCACCACCTTCGCCTTTGACTTGTCGCTGAAAACCGGCCTGAAATAGAAGCTGAAAAAAAACCAGGCACCCCAGATGCTGTCTACGCGTTTTGTGCATTTCTTGCCCACCACCTTAGGCACCACACTGAGGAAGCTTTCGGTCTCATACATTTGGGTCCCAAGCCCTACATCAAGAATATCACAGTTTTCAGTGCTCCACAACTGGGGAGGAGGACTCTGCTCGGCAGATAAAGGCAGATTGATGTCGGGTGGACGAGCTATGATGACTTGCCGATTCATTTCAAGCTCTAATTCATCATGTGAAGAGGACGAATCCATGGACAAGAGGGTCGAAGGCCGATTAAGATTCTCCATTGAAAGGGAAGTGAGAAGAATTTCCCCCATCTCATTAACTTTTCTCCCCTCCTTCCCTTAATATTGGGGGACACCTTCCGATGTCGGGTTCAAAAGTTATCAATCCAAAGATCAGCCAAATGAAAGCTAATCTTTATGAAAACAGTCCCAACTACATCCGCCAACACCACAAGTTTATTCATTAAAATAACAAAATCCTCGAATTGTAATACTCGAATATGAATAGGTAGTATGACACCATTTCAGAACTTTTGTTCCTCCCTCAATAAAGAATGAGATTTCCAGAGGATGAAACTACCACTACGAATAAGAGCCCGTAAAGAGGATAAGAAATCAAATAATCAAATTTGATTCCTACCCAGACTAATTTTCAAAAAAAGCCAGATGAAGAAGACCATAAAAGCCCTAATTCAATAATATTCTTCCACCTTTAAACACAGGAGGGAAATATTGAATGAAACCTATTGAAAACAAGGTCCATTATTGAGCATCGTATAGAAACACGCAGTCAAGATCTCAACTTCTCTTCTGGGTATCCAAAATAAATATAGATATGGTATAAACGATACTGAATATTACCAATCTATGAAGCCAAGACCCAAGAAAAGGACCAAATCAGAGGGGATCTTGGAAGAGTATCCCTTTGGATAAGCTTCAACAACTAAGAATCCACAGAGACCCGGACACTCCGAATAATCAACGGCCCTCACCATCCTCATTTTTCACAACCTTCAAAGGCTTCTGTTTATACTCTTTCCTTGGAAGTATGACTCCGATAGATGATTACACAGTCTTACACTCCTGCAACCAGATATTTTTTGTCAAAGAAACCCACATGTCAGCACTCACAGAGCTGGCCTGAGATTGGAAATCGAGAGAAGATGATAGAAGAGAGGAAAACGGGTATTTTATGGGCTTCGGGTTTCTTCGAGAAAATGGGTATTTTATGGAGGAAATACTCCGTAGATTTGTGTAGAGAAATTCAGAAGGGTTTGAGAATGCCAAGGGAGTTTGGTGGGCGACATTTCTTATTAGTACCGTCCAATCATTTTTTTTCACCTTTTTATTTTATACTCCCTCTGTTTCCAATTTGATTACAAATTAGGGTTTATGAGAAAAAATATTTATTTTTTGAAATCATTTTATTTATAAATTAATTTATCGATAAGAAATAAAAATTAAATATTAAAAAATTTCATCAAAAGTTCTACAACATAAGAGGTGACAAGTATATTTTATTTTATCAAATACTTAATGAAATCGTGTAAATAAACAAAAGTTATCAAGAAAAAAATTATAATCAAATTGGAGATAGATGGAGTATTTCGTTACAAATTTTCTGCTCATTATTTTAAAATAAAGATTTATCTTAAATACAGAGTCTTACCTTCATTCTTGAGTATTTATTTATTTTTGATTTTTTTGTCAAAATTAGTTAATTTTGACAATCATTTAAATAAAATGACACAACATATTGATACACATATAATTTTATTAGATTTATTTGATATGGTATTATTTACCTAATTAATATACCCTCCAATCATTTTTTCACCTTTTTCTATTATATTTCTTTATAATTTTTCTTATTATTTTATGATACAGATTAAGGAGTATATCGTATTTTCCCTTCTATTTTTATTCCTCAAAAAAATATCCTTCAAAATAAAATACCTGTAAAGAAAATATACGAGCTTATTCACTCACTCATGGTATCAGAGCTTAATTCTGAACCCTAGTATATCTTCCTCTTTCAGCCATCCTTCTCTGCCTGCGTTGATCTCTTCTTGGCAGCGTCTCTCTCCTTTTCGTCTTAGCCATGGTGTTTGAAGTTTCTTACACACCAGATTCTTGAATTACTTAACTCGAGCATAACTCGAGCATAAAAGCAATGCTTGAATATTGCCAATGTAACGTGTTGAAGCTTTAAAATACCGATTTTTCATGTCTTATCAACCTGTTAGGTTAATAGGTTTTGTTAAAAAGACTATAGTTTTTAAATACTTTTATAGAAAGAAGACATAAATAGGAAAAATACTTTTACACTTAAAAGGTCATGTTTTTTCCTTAATTAGATTTAGAATCTACTTTGGGAATTTTTGGATAATGTTTTTTGGCCACATGAATACTGAAAGTGGAATGTTCGAACCCAAAAAAGAATGGGACTGAAAAATATAAATGCCCACCGTTTCAGTGTGTAAAGGGACAAATCCAACACACACCGCACACACTAACCCCAAAGAGAGAGAAGGAGATATTGACGGTCACAACGCCCTCATACCTAGTGTTCTTCTAGCGATTGAGGACTCACGACCAAGATAATCAGAGAGAGAAGAGTGAGCGCGTTTGGTTGAGGTGCATCACATTCCCTGGAGAGCTTGTCAAGGTTTGTTGTAGCATCAAAATAGGCAAACAAAACTACACTTTTTCAATCCTTGGCTTTGATCATTACGATTAGGGTTGTTTTTTGAAATCACATGATTTTATTTTATAGTCTTACCTGTTGCACGATTGTGTTGTTGTTTCGCATTTGAGTTTGAATTTGCAACGTTTAATCTTGGTTTCTTGTGGTGATTAATTTTCTATTGAGCCGTGCTTGAATTTTGGAGTTCATTTTGCATTTTAATGATGAATGAAAGCATATTTGAATACAAGCTTGCATCAATGACTATAATGAGTGAGTAGTCAACTAAACCTTGGTTTGTTTATGATGTTGTGAATGATGATAATGTGTTGAAGTGTGTCTCTATGATTCTAGTGTGACATCTATAAGATGGATCGGAAATGTGAATGAATTCTAGGTTGCTAGGACCATCTAATTGGTTGTGACTAGGTAAATTAGGTTACCCCTACTACCAATGGTATTCTACCATCTACACTACAAGAAAAAGCCAAAAGAACGACGAAATTTGGCGACGAAATACTTTCTGTCGTTGGTAGCGACTAAATTAGCGACGGATTTTGGATGCCTACCAGACATAACGACGGACGGATTTAAAGTTCCCTCGTTAGGTATATGCGGGAAGTGGTGCGCGCCCTTTATAGCGACGGAAATGGCGATAGAATATTTCCGTCGTTAGTTTGGAGACCGAAATAAACCATTGCCCACTTCATTTTATCTAAATGCATCGTTTTGGCTTAGCGACGAAAAATTACGTCGCTACATTCTGTCGGCACACGATTCAGATCTTAAATACGAAATTCCTTTTCTTAGACAGACAGAACGCCGAAGACGACACAAAAGTGCAGAACAGAACGCCGCTCGCCGCCGCTCGCTGTCCACTTGTTGCCGCTCTTCATCTTCAAATATCAATTTGTTTTCATTTTTTACAATTGAAGTTGAAAAATAATTTGACTAGATTATATATTTATACTTGAATACAAAATTTTATTGATTGATGATATATATAAAGAGTCCATTATGTAAATTATTTGACATTTAGTTCTAATTTTAAAAGTTATTGAAATTAGGGTTTTTCCCCCAAAATTTTGTCATTTTGTTTTAAAAACTCAATTATAAATTCTTGAAACTTTTAGTGAACGAATATTATGCTTATTAATTTTTTCATAGCATATTTTAGATATTGTAAATGTTATATGATGATTGTGTGCGTATTATGTATATGTTGTTCAATATTGTAATTCTTGCATTTATATTATATTTTTTTAGTTTGTTTGTAATAAATTATATAACTTAATAGTATGTTAATTTTATTTTTTTGAATTTCTCAAAATGAGTGACTTTCACGAAAATCGAGATTGGATGTATAAAAAACTTGATAGTTCAGGTTTTTTAAATACAGATTGGGTTGACAAAGTAAAACAATTCATTGAGTTTTGTGAGTCAAATCCAAAAGTGGATTTGCAAGAATTGATCGCTCTGGCAGGTGATTCTACATATATATCTTTTTTTACATGTAAACATGATTACAATATATTGTAATGTTGTAAATTTAATACTCCCTCCGTCCCAGTGTGTTTGTCCAGTTTGACTTTTTCGAGTCAAACTGGACAAACTTTGAGCTTCAATTAAATAAAAACTGTAATGTACTTTAACATAAAAATGACTTTATTGGATTTATCGTATTGAGAACTTTCAAAATTGTATTTTATTATGCTAATATGCAATATAAATTGAGAGTAATTGGAGTTCAAAGTTTGTCCAGTTTGACTCGAAAAAGTCAAAGTGGACAAATACACTGGGACGGAGGTAGTATCATGCAGTGTCGTCATCATGGAGGAGGGAGCTTGGATTATTTGTTCCACATTCCAGCGGAGGCTCGATCCAATAGGGGTAGTTGGAAGAGCCTAAGCGATGCGATAATGGACTTTTACTGGAGAGAGTTTCAGGTAATATTCGGTTAGACACAAAAGAATATCAAATGTATGCTTTCTATATTTTGTATTTTGTTTAAGATATAATCTGACATGTGTGGTCTAACTTCTTTTTTAAATTTAGAAACATGATTCTTGGGACCCTCGCAATTATGATGGGGTTATGTTCTGTGCTTGGCGATCGAAGGCTAGAAGGCGATACACCGACTGGCTCTCATGTATTAGAAATGAGAAGAAAGGAACAGAGAAGGTGCAACCACTTGTATCACAATCGTGGAAGGAGGTATTTCTAAATATCTTTTGAATTGAGGAGTTGCGTTTTACTTAGCTTCAAGTGTGAAATGTGAAAACATCACACACACATACGTATATATATGTGTGTGTATATTTGTATATTTGTATTTGTATGTTGTTAAACAGTATTGGAAGTCGCCAAAGTTATTGGAATCCTCCAAGCAAAACAAGAAAAATCATCGTGGCGGTGTCGAGGCTCGTGGGACTCGAGTTCTCAGGTTGTAACGGTTTGTTAAGCACCCGTAAGCTTAACAGAAGTAGTGTAGCTCGAGAGAGACTCTCGGGAGGCTGGTGTAGCCACACGTTGTGGTGAACCAGAGTAAGATCGGTGTGTTCTTTTCTTACGCTTTTTTATTTCGCTCTTTACTCTCCCTGCAATTTTTATTCCGCGAAAATTTATAAACATTCTCGTGCCTCACTATTCACCCCCCTCTAGCGTTGGGGCGTTTTTCTAACCATTGATATCAGAGCCTAACTCTCTTCCAGACTTAACTGTTTGAGAGGAAAAAGATCATGGGCTCTTCTTCTAGAAACTTGTACGCATGTATTGGCGAAGGGCAATCCACCTCTAGGCCACCGCTCTTTGATGGTACCAACAACTCCTATTGGAAGGAACGGATGAGAATCTATATCCATTCCACCAACTTCCAATTGTGGTTGGTCATAAAAAATGGCGAGCAAATCCTGATGAAAAAAGAGGGAAGAAAAGGGCTATGCATATACTAAGGGGGAATTGTTTTTGCTATAAACATGATATCAGTTTCAGGGGGAACATACAACAATGATGTTTTGTATTAAACATCAATGCTCAGGGAGTACACTTTTTAAAATTTATTTAGTACTTTTTGCTAATGCCAAAAGGGGGAAGTGTTTGGGTATATGCAACAAGTGAGGGGGAATCTTGTTTTCAAAGACGTAGGGAGAATCACCATTACTCTCTCTCTTTGAAAACCCAAATTGGCCTGCATATCTCCGCCTTTGTTTGTCATTATCAAAATGGGGGAAATTGTTAGAAAGCATTTTCACATTGATGTTTTGTTAATGACAAATGCTTGTTCCGTTTAGGTTTTGATATTGACAAACCGTCGGGAACATGGGACAAAATGAAAAGATTCAAGGTCATAGCAAAAGCTCTTTGAAGGAACAAAAAGCACAAGAAAGGCATTGACATTTCTAAAGACAACGAGATTGGCGTTTTGAAAACGTTGTCTAAAGACTTAGGTTTTTATTGTAACAAGCTCATTCAATTTCTCTATGTCATGGCTCAAAAAAAAATACGTTTTTCATGCATCAAATGAGTGTTTTCATAAATGGTTTTAAGTTTCTAAAACCCTTGGTTCTTGCCGAACCAAACGCATAACCATCAGTTATCGATGTTCGGCTATGGCGTTCGGTTTTTGGCATGGGTTATTGGCATTGATTTTATCCAAATGATTTTTGGGTTTTTATCTTTGGTTTTTGGTTCTAAACACAGTTAAAATTTTTCCAATTGATTAGTTTTCAAAAACCATAACCTTTGTTTTTCGGCGTTGGTTATCGGCATTCGGCGCTGGTTATGGGTGTCGGCTTTTGGCGTCCAAATAAATGAAGTGGTTTTTAAGATTTTATGATTGGTTTTTACTTGTAGGCATATAAAAATAGTTCTCCAACAAAAACATGTTAAAAACCACCTTTTGTTTTTGGTGTTTTGGTAAAAGCCATGTGAAACAGCATAAACCTCGCTAGCCGTGGTTTTTACCTTAATGAAGTGGTTTTTAAGCATTTATACTTGGTTTATACATAAACATTATAGAAAAGTTTCCAACACTTGGTTTTCATTTTGGAGAACTTTAGTTTTTGACATCGGTTTTCGGCGTTGGCTGCCAAACCATGGTCTGGCGAACCATCCCAACATGCATGTCGGAAATCCCAACAGCGATGTTGGCATTCAGAAGTCTTGGGCAGTAGGTTTTTGAATAACGATGTTTTCAAATGACCGTTGGGCTATTTAAGACAAAATCTTTCCATTTTTGAAAGTCAAACACCCCAACATCGATGTAGACTTCTAGACATCGATGTTTTGATGACCGTTAGCCATTTTTAAAGGAAAGTCAAAGCCAAAACAACGATGTTCACTATATGAACAACGCTGTCAGGCTAGATTTCAGTAGATCCACTTTTATTTGATTTCCACAAATCAAGCCAATCAACCCCAATCTTCTCCCAACCGTTGCACCTTGTTTTTGGGTATAAAAAGGGGTCTCTTGGGTCTACTTTGCACAACCATTCCTCACACATTTCTTAGTTTTACATTGCATCACTCCATAAACTTTTTACATAGCTTTTTAGAGCCATTTCTTGAGGATTTGAGTGTGTTTTTTTTTTATCTAAATTAGTTTACTCTAATTCTACTCTTTAAGAGAGTTTTTGTTCTTGAGTGGTTAAATGTTGTGAACACTTTAAGGAAGGTTTGTTCCCTTGGTTGTACGAAGGAAGGGCATATTCCTTCGGGTTGAAGTCTTGGAGTGTGATATCTCCGAGCAAGTGTATTGAGGCTCATGGGACTCGAGTTCTCATGTTGTAACGGTTTGTTAAGCACCCGTAAGCTTAACGGAAGTAGTGTAGCTCGAGAGAGTCTCTCGGTAGGATGTACTAGCCACACGTTGTGGTGAACAAGGGTAAAATTGGTGTGTTCTTTCCTTACTTTTTTTTATTCCGCTCTTTACTTTATCCCTGCGATTTTTATTTTGCGAAAATTTATAAACATTCTCGTGCCTCACTGTTCACCCCCCTCTAGCGTTGGGACATTTTTCTAACAAGTATAAGTCACATATAAGGTTATTTCAATATACATAATCATTCATAGTATTCCATGCAACAAATACTATAACAACATCAATGGATAATAGTTATATCAACAATTCATAAATCAAACCTTCTTACCTAGATTACCAAATTTTAACCTAGATATTTATGCCACGTAATCCATATGAAAAGTTAACCAATCTTCTTTAATTCAATGATCATAACCTATCCTATATTAAGACAAATTCTTTATTCTTCCTAGAGTCCTCATTCAACCACATCCATGGAAGAACCAGCTCGATACAACGTCATACAACATTGGTGAGGTGGGAACACCTAGTCACATCCATGAATTGATCATAGACCCCCGTGTGCATGCTTTACCCAACTGATCATGCGTGCACGCCAGTTCATCACATGACCTGTAACTCCTAACTGTATTCTTATTATGTTTTTATAAACACCTTCCACTTACCACCATACAACACATAAAGTCTCCAAATCGCTTCTTGACTTGAATCGAAACAAACAAACAAAAAAAGGCCGAGAAAGGTCTGGCACGGTACGTGTTACGGTAACTCCATACCGCTAGACGATACATGGGTACCGTCGGCCAGTACTGACCTACCGTCCGACAGCAGGTTTGTAACGCCCCAAAAACTTGCTTAGTAATTAGTTGTTATTTTAGTTAAAAAATAATATTTATTTACTCAAAAATATGAATTATTTGTAAAGTTGACCATTTTAGTTAAAAATTAGATTTTAGGGTAGATCTAGTTAACTTGTGACCAACGGTAGGTAGTTTGTTAAATTTGGACATACGTGTAAAGGGTGGTGAGTAAAATAGACGTTACAGTTGAATAAATAAATATAAACATTTTTATAATATTATAATATTAATTATATATAATACTTTCCTAAAAACCTAATCTTAATCTACCCGTGAGACTCTGATATTCGGTTGCACCCTAAAAGGGGGGTGAATTAGGCTATTTAAAATATTTTTTCAAAGTAAAAACTTAAACGAAACTAAAAGGCGGAAAAGAGCAAGGAAAATAATAAGAAAGAAAAGAGCACGACACAACAATATTATGCTGGTTTCGGAACTCCGTACTCTAGTAGCTCAAGGCTCCTCCTCAAGGATTTAACCTCCACTAACTTGTTTGGCTTCACTAAGAAAACTCAAACAAGAATTGGCAAACAACCCTTGCGAATAAGTAAGGGGTACCTAGATACTGTGTAAACAGTTAAGGGGTACCGTGAGATCCTTTTTCATTTTTCAAAACTTGATTTTTTATCATTTTCTCAAAATAACCCCAACTAAGATTTATTTGGAAATGTTTAGAAGTGTATTTTAAATGCAAGGGCAGATTGAAATCATTATAAACATCAAAACCCTTACATTTTGATTTTAATGCTCGTGGAAGTACTTCTCGGTGATGCTAATCAAGTTAGGAGAGATTGGGCGTTTGGTTCTTCCTGCAAAAAAATGTTAGTGTAATGCCTCAAAACATGCCTTAGAATTATTAATGAATAATTATTCATTTAATCAAATTAGTTTTGATTAAAATAAATCATTCTTGGGCTTTGAGAAAAAATAAAATATGTTTTGACATTCAATATTATAATCTGGATAAATCTCTTAGAGATAAATCCAATATGTTGGCTAATTATGTAACCTTGATTGGGAACCAGAGTAAAGACCCAAATCAAGAATAAATTAAAAAATTGACTTGTGATGTGAACTCTGAAATGATTTTTTGAAATAAATCGTGAGAATAAATAATATGAATGAGATGAGAAAACCTTTTTGAAATAAAGGCCAACTAATCAGTTTTGACTCTGTCAAAGTAAAACATCTAAAAATATGATGTCGGAGAAAGTATTACAAATAAATAAAAAAATTATATTGGTGAATAGAGTTTAACTGTCTAGTCGCAATGGTGAAAACGGATTTCAATTCGGAGAAAGTAGGACAAAAAAGTGTAGCCCGACTAGGACTGAAATTAGTCCCAATCAGGGACTTGCGTTTGGAATTGTAAAGATCGTAGCCCTCTCGACTGAGATTCCAAAATAGGAGAAGCTATGTCTTCTTCCTCACTCTTCTTCCTATATAAACTAACCATTCTCTCCCATCCTTTCATCATTTCCCTTCATGAGTGTGGACAACGAAGTGGTGCTGTCAATTTGGTGTGAAGTCGCCAGAGTTAGAGTAATCTTCACCGGAAATTTCGCTGGAAAATTCTCAAAACCTTCATTAAGTTTGGAGGTATGCCCGTAGATATATCTAGTGACTATAATGTTCGTATAGATCATTTCTACGTTCATGAATGGTCGTTTGGTTGAGTTTTGTGTTTGACATGTGTGAAGAACTAAGAATCATAAACCTTGATATTGTTGTTAAAACTAGGAATTAATGATACAAAAATGATCTATGAACCTTGGAGAACATTTCTGTATAGTTTAATTGAAGTTTGGTAACTAGAATTGGTATTTTCGAAATTGGACCCGAACGAAGAAGAAGATGAACAGTCACTACGTCAAAAACAGATGTTGACAACTGTTCTTTTTAGTAGTCTAACTGTGCTAGTTTCAGTAGTCTTCCAAGCAGCTGTCTGATATATTTACAGACTACTGTTTAAAAAAATTGTGTAATACGGTTGACGACACCTATTTGGTGATGTTTCACAGTACATATTTTTGAAGTTGTCCTCGTATGAGTAAGACATCTATTTTCTAGAGTTAAAGACAACTGTGATGTTTTGTTGTCTATCTATAATGAATATAACTATTGTTTTTGACTTCAGACTCCTATTGCGTGGTGTTGTCGTTCAACAATATAGACATCTAATTTCAAAAGTAGTTGAAAGATATATCAGACAGCTGCTTAGAAGACTACTAAACAAAAATAGCATCGGACAACTGTTATCTTTTGTTATATTTCTAAAATGCAGACTACTAATTTTGTTGTATTTTAAACAACCGTTTCTTTCACTTGTATAGTGCTCAATCACACTACGCTTTGTTGTAGTTGTCCTTGAAGTATTCAAACTATCTTTTTACACAGTAGTCAGATTGTAAATCAGACTACGGCTTCGAAGACAACTAAGTATGTTTGCATAAGACAACTACCATTCTGTGTTGTATTTGTAAAATGTAAACAACTATATTTGTTGTATTTCACATAATTGTTTATTTCTATTGTCTAACGTTTATTAACAGTACAGGTTTGTGTAGTTGTCCTTTAAAGATTTAGAAGACTGTTTTAATACATTATAAAGCTGTTTGAAAGACTACTATATTTCAATTCACATTTATATTTAATAAATAAAATTTATTTCAATTCCAAAATATTGATCACGAAACAAAAATAAATTCTAAAATGTAGAATATATTGAATAATATCTAAATACATACATGTCTAAATAACATCCAATAATTTAATATTTACATAATTAAAATCACATTCTAATTGTCCATTCAGCATGCCTAATTTAGTTATTTGTCCCCTCAATAACATTTTTGAATACATCCCTTGCTCTAGCAACATTTTCTTATAAAGCATCCACTTTAGTCCTCAATCTACATACCAATAAATAATTAAAATGAATGTTGGTTGATAACAAGAAAAAGTTCATAACAAAAATACTTGAAACTTTTTGGAGTTATTTGCTAGCTAAATACCTCTAAAGTAGTTCATATGCATCTATTTAACAATTGAAGTTCATAATTTAGCTTAGAAATGAAGCAAAACTGTAGATTTATTTCTAAATAAAAAATAATTCAGTTCAGATTTTATTCAAAACCAAAACTTAAAATTCAAAAATCAATATATAAACACAATGTCATGCTTCAATTTGATGATAGTTTTCTGAACTATGCTTAACTAGTAGGTGTTCTTAGTCTCGAGTCCCCTTTGTGGACATTTTGTAACTTACTATATAATATGTAGGTAATATATATGTCCATAAACAAACACTTAAAAAAATCCTTGTACATGAACTACATCAATTAAAGCACCAAGACATTTACCTCTCCAAATGTTGATATGCTTCTCAGGAGACTGAATCCTAAAACTTCAATTTGGTGCACTTCCAAAAATTATCAACTCTAGCAAACTTGTTGCTTCTCAAATAAAGTGTCTCAACAACAAGCTGCAAGGACTCATCCATGAGAAGCACATTATAGTAGAATAAATAAAAGTAAGAATTTAATAATAAAAAATAAATAAATAAAACAAATATACGGAGGTTATGCTTAGGGTTAACACAGCCGTCTGTTCTCTCCTTCTTCTTCGATCAACTTCAGCGCCGCCAACCCTCTTCTTCGTCGATCGGTCACAACAGCCCGGATGTAAGGCGGCAACGGTCCTAGACTCGGCGACCCATGAAGGACACCAATTGGCACTGGGCGACGCTCTCCAATCCGTCCGGCAATGAACTCGGACAGCGGCGAGACGACGTCTCTCGTTCTTTCGGTGTTCAGCGAGGTCCAGCGACTCGACGACTTTTTCCCCCTGACAGTAAGGAGCAATCCGGCGATCTCTCTCTTTGTCCCAGCTCTATTCAGCGAGTCTGGCGACCTTCGCGTTTAACTCAACACCCAGCAGCGGCGAGGCAACCCAGCGGCGGAGTAGCAGCGCCGGTGAGCGCGAGATAGAACAAATGTTTCTTCTCTGGAAGAAGTTGCTGCTTGAAATCGGGCAATATCAAAAGAAGAAATCATGTTATTCAAGTAAAGAACTTGCCTTACAGCCGTAGGTGAATAGTAACCACGAGGGAGTTGACCTTCAATTCGGCCAAATCGAGCCCCAAATCTACAAAGATAAACTCGGAAAAGGAATACATTGCTAAAGTCAATCCAAAGCTCAAAAAATTACTTCAAAAACCCAAAAGCAACGATGAAGCAGCACTTTAGGATCGATTGTGAATAGTGTTACATGAACCGCTGGCCAGCACTCTCGCGCATACAGAGAGAAACTCCCATCGTTAGCTGAAAACAATCCCTGGATAGGTTGCCACTCAGATGGAGGAGAGCATCGAGAGGGTCCAGTGATGAAGCTTCCTTGGTGGGTTTTTGAATGACGAAGGGAAGGGGTGAAATTGGAGGCGGGACTATTAGGGTTACATAATTTTGGCCAAATTTTCACTCAAAAAAATCTAGTCCCTCCAACTTTTCATATCTTATCTAAAATGAAACTAGAGGCGGGAGAAGGAGGGATACATATATTTTGGCCAAATTTTCAAAAAAAATAAAATTGGTTCCTAAATTTTTGTTTAAATTCATAGGTATCCTTTTAAAAAACTGATCTAGTTTGAATTTTTTTCTATACATTTTTTCATTTCAAAATTTTAAACTATTTTTTTTTAATTTTTAAAAATGATAGATTTCAATTCATTTCAACAAAAAAATTAGGTTTTTCATCAATTTTAGGTTAAATTATTAGATTTCATTTCAAACAAAAATGATAGATTTCAATTCGTTTTCAAAAGATTTAACATTAGATAATTTTTAAAAAATATACGTTTTAATATATTCTCGTCTCAATTATAATTTTTCAAAATTAATTTTTTATACTCTTTGTCTCAATTTTTGTAAAAAATAAACTATCGTTCATACTCTCCGACTTATTGTATTTCAAAAAGATAGAGACAAATAAGATTATACGAAATCAGATCACATCATCTCAGTTTAACATCTTTAGTTTTTTGGCTCTTTCTTTATACCATAATAAAGCTCCATAACATTCAAATTTGAAAGTGGGATCTCCAAAATCAATTATATTATATGGGAATAATAAAATATGATATAGATAATCTTTTGAAAGCATGATGAAGTAGGTGTATAATTGTTTCGAGATTGATGTATTGTATAGATAATTTTTTAGGAAACATTTAGTGGAAATATTAATTTTTTAATTTGAAATTTATAAATTACCATTTCCCACATCATAGAGTAGATTCCTTTTGGCATAGGTTCGATTTTGCGAGACTATAACTGACGACGATCTCTCTATTTGTATATGTAATTTCTATCATAAACAAAATATTGTGATAATTAGGCATGGATTATAAATATATTTCTTAACTTTTATACTTGATAGCTTTTTGAAATTACAAGCTTAGGTTTATAATGCCTTTTTATGTGTATTAGGATGTAAAAAGAAAACATGCTAAAAATTTGACTGCAGAAAAATAAGCAAATGACAATTAAAAGTTGGTCCCCAAACGATGCTGAATAATACGGAGTAATAATAATAATAATAATAATAATAATAATAATAATAATAATAATAATAATAATAATAATAATAATAATAATAATAATAATAATAATAATAATAATAATAATAATAATAATAATAATAATAATAAAAATAATCCTGTTAGCATGCCAATTAGATTAGATCTAATCAGATAAGATAAGGTCAAATCAAATCCAATAAGATCTTATTACTTGTAGATTTCATGTGACCCACTGCATCTCAATTTAACATGTTTATATGTTGATTAGATGACATCTAATGAAATCAGATTTCATCATATCAGATTAGACTAGATCAAATTAAAAGAGTTTTCAATATAACGTAGTAATCGGACCTAAATAGATCAAATCAGACAAAAACAGATCTAATCGGAATAAATCAAAGTCAAATCCAATAAGATCATATCAAATCTTCAAAAATATCTATTTCCTTGTATAGGTTGTATCCTATTTGCCTGATCAAATCCTTAAATGCATCATATTGGATCTAAAGTGGATCCAATCAGACCAAAGTAGATCTAATCGAATCAAATCAAATTCAAATCTATTAAGATTAGATCAAATATTAAAAAATTCAATTTAATTGTATATGTCGTGTCATATTTTCCTGATCTAATTCTTAAATGCACCATATCGAATCTAATCAGATTGAATCAGACCGAAATAGATCTAATCAGATCAAATCAAATTCAAATCTATTAAGATGAGACCTAGTCTTTGAAAAAAAATTTACTTGTGTTGGTTGTGTTTTATTTTTGTGATATAAACTTTAAATTCATTAGATTGGATCAAATTAGATCAAATTCGAAAAAACAGAGCTAATCAGATCAAATCAAATTCAAATCCAATAAGATCATATCTAATTTTCAAAAAAATCAATTTACTTATGTAGGTTGTCTTTTATTTGTTTGTCTAATCTTTGAATGCATTAGATCGGATCTAATTAGATCGAATCAGACCAAAACAGATCTAATCGGTTTAAATAAAATTCAAATCCAATAAGATTAGATCAAATCTTCCAAAAAACCTATTTACTTGTATAGGTTGTGTCCTATTTACCTGGTAATATTTGTAAATGCATTAAATTAGATCGAATATAACTAAAATAGATATAATATAATCAAATTAAATTCAAATCCAAAAGATCATATCAAATCTTCAGAAAAATCTATTTACTTGTGTAGGTTGTGTCCTGTTTGTCTGATCTAATCTTTGAATGTATCAAATCAGATCTAATTAGACCAAAATAGATCTAATCAGAACAAATCAAATTCAAATCCAATAAGATCATATCTAATATTCAAAAAATCAATTTACTTATATAGGTTGTGTCTTATTTTCTTGATTGAATCTTTAGATGTATGAGATCGGAATTTAGTTAATATTCTTAAAGTTTACCTCCGAATCTTTACAATTTTCATTTCCCTCTTTCTGAATTCATTTTCCCTCCTCTAAGTTTCATTCTCCCTCTTCTTAATTTTTGTTTTCCCTTCCTTGAAAATTGTAATTCCACCAAAAAATTTGTTCTTACACCGCACCTTTATCCAACATCCACACTAATTAAATTCCTTGGCTGAGATCTTCAAATGCTTCCTCTAGTTTTGGTGTTTTTTCTGCGATTCTTGGGATGCGCTTACAGCGACTTGGGATTGAGACCGCGATGAACACTGCCGCGCAGGGAGTTTCACGCCGTTTCTCCATCAAATTAAGGGCTTTGCTTCAGATTTTTGGAACTCAAGATGCGCCTACAGCGGGTGAATCCATATTTGAGGTTATCTTGCTGTTTTTGGAAGTGATTTTGGGCAAAACCGAAGGTCAACACAGCGCAGTTACTGTTCATCTGCGAACTCATATGATGATTTAAGGCATCTCAAGCTAAATTGAAGGATTTTCTTTGTGGATTCTAATTGAAATGGTCTTGTAATCTAAGGTATGAGCATGGATTACAATTCCATTTCAATAATTCTGAATTTTTTTGGGTCCTTGTTACTGTACACCACTCGGTATTTTGAGTCTGCTTTGCTCTTGTGTTGGACCACGTTTTGTGCAATGTTTTTGTTGAGGGTGATGTTGGTATGAAGCTGAATTGTGAGTTGTACCACTAGGCTATGCTCGAAATTGCAGCTGAATTTCTGGACTTAGTTTTTGCATCTGTTTTGGTTTGTTTTGGGCTGTTATTTTGCTGTTTTGAATGGTGTGTAAACCTCGTACTGCTATGATTTTTGCTACTTGTGTTGGGTTGAATTGGGAATGGTGATGGCATGGTTTTGGGGATGTTTTGCTGGATTTCTTTGGCATGGACTCATGAACCTCCAACCTCCTGCCAAGCTTTTACAGCTGGTTTGTGGTAAGCTGGGTTCGGATGTTACCTGCTTGGAGGTTCTCAATATGGCTCCTACATGGTTTCTCCTTGCTAGGGGAGGCCTTTGTGCATATTTTGCAACAAAAACAGCTGGTTAGCACTGCTGTTTTGGTTGGGTAAACCTGATTTTGAACCAAAATTGAGTGGGAAGTTTAACTTCGAGCTGGGAAACTTGTGGGATGTATTATGGGCTGATTTGGTTTGTGGTGGCCTACCATTTGATGGAGCAGCTGTTTTGATTCGTGGTGGTCTCCTATGTGCTGAAATGAACCTTGTTTTAGTTAGCCATAGCCTGGACAGTGGCATGATGGCAGGGGGAATCGAGTGGCTGCTTGGGCTGCCTTACCACTGCTTGTACCTCTTTTTGGGCTGTGAATGCAGTGTGCTGATTTTTGGGTTGTTTGGATGCTGAATTATGACTTATTGGGTTTGATTCCGCTGAAATGCAACTTGAACTTGAAGTGGCCTCGGCAGTATATGGGCTGACCTACTACATTTTTAGGACTCTTTGAGAGTTTGCAAGCTGCCTTGTGGATGCCTTGGACAGGTTTGTGTTTCTTTGTGGCCTGCCATTTGATTACTTGAAATCATGGAACTACAAATTTGCTGTTTTGATTGTCTTTTTGTACGGCCTGCGTGCCAAGTTGTGGTATTGTGGTGTTGTTGTATTCATTTCATGTATGGAACCATTTTTATGGTTTAGCATATAACATTGATGTACCGTTCTGAGTAGGGGTAATAATAATTTACATTTTACCCTTGGGCGACTCGGGATGCTAAAAAAGATTCTGAAGTTGGATTTCGAGTATATGTAAGAATTCGTTCACAGACAAACTTCAAACTGTGATTTCCCAGGTTTCTTGCTTTCTTTTTCTCCGACTCTCTAGTGCATTCTGGTCATGATTTATGGTGCATTTCATCTCCTTAACTAAATTTCCAATCCATTAATGGGTGTTCTCTCCCTGAATTTTCTTGGTCTCGAGCACTGTCCATTTCTCCATTGCTACGAATCTACTTGCCTTGAATAAGTTCCTGGCCTTGATTGGGGCTGAAAACTTTGGTTTTCCTTGCTGTCATTTTCAAACAGCAGACTCCTTTGGGGGCTGTGTGTACTATGGTTTGGAGTGGAAATCTCTATTATGTTTGGGGTGTTTGAACTACTATTGGGGTCTATTTGAGCTATGGTTTGTTAGTAATACATTACGGTTTCTCAAAACTCTAAAACTAGTTCTAGGCTTAATAGTCTAACTATTGTTTAAAAATGGTATTCTTAACTTATTATAGACAACTTGTAATAGATTATGGCTTCTATGAATTTCAAAAATAGTTCTACGCTATATGAATACACTACTATTACAAGGGGGTCTTCTATTCTTATAATAAACAATTCTGTAAAAAAACCATTTGAAACATACAACTAACAATACAATACTATTTCTTATAAGTTTAAAAACAATTATA